GAATTGTAATTCAGATCTGAATTCAAGTTATGTTTCAATCGGTTGTCAAACGAGTTATGAATTGATTGAAGAGTTGTCTCAAAGAGAAGACAATACAAGACATGAAACACATGACAAAGGATTGAATACTCGAGAAGTGATTGAATCAGACATTGAATCTAATGATGGCATCGATTGTGACATTAATTGTGATTCAGATAACGAGACAATCTGTGGAAGTGTTGATCAAAATGAAGACATGAATGACAGACAAGACTTGAATAGAAATGAAGAGAAAAGTAAATCAATGAATGAAATCTCAAGTGAAGCGAAAGACAGCGAAACAGAAGAGTATAATAACGGGTCGAGTGATGAAGAAATGGACGACAAGTCAGACACCGAAAAGGAAACTAAGCGTCGAAAACATAATAAGAAAACTGACGGTCAGTTTGTATGCGATTTCATCGGTTGTGGAAAAAACTTTGCAACAAAAGGTTCTGTGACTCAACACAAAAGCGTACATTTGGGTCATACCTATCGTTGCGAAGAATGTGGAGTAGTATTCAAATCCAACTGTTCTTTAGTTAAACACAAACGCATACATTTAGGTGAGACCTATCGGTGCGATGACTGCGGGACCACATATCCATCGAAACTGAGGCTAAACGGACACAAGTCTGCAAAACACGGCACAGCCTATCAGTGCTCTCATCCGGGATGTGATTACAAGACTGGACACAAATCAGCCCTTAATAAACATCGATTAAATCATGTAAATGACTATCAATTCAAGTGTGGCTGCGATAAGGCTTTTAAAACACAAAAGTATTTGAATCTTCACCAGAAGAGAGTACATCCCGACTCATTTGCAGACATACCATGGATTGAATGCTCGCATACGGGCTGTCAGTATAGGAGTAAATGCAAAAGAGATATAAAGACTCACATTAAAGAGCACACAAAGCCCTGTATATGTGAAATATGCGGAAAATCAATTCCATCTAAAAATATCGCCACTCATCGCCGGACTCACAACAAGTCGTTACAAATCCCGTGCGAATGGCCTGAATGTGAGCGAAGATTCATTAATAATAGTTTTATGAGAGCACATATGAATTCACACACGTGTGAGACCACATACCGGTGCCAATGGCCCGGTTGTGACAACACTTATACCAATAAACTATCGTTAAGTGTACACCAAAAGAGAGTGCACAAGGGTTTGTTAGACCAGAAGTGTCATTGGCCTGAATGCGAGTACTCGACCACTAATCCCATTAGACTTCATAATCATATCGATAGACAACACGAGGGTCTGCAGGACTACCGGTGCTCTCATACGGGCTGTGATTATACGACCACTAAATGCGGACAATTAGACACACATATGAAGACTCATAAAAATTAAGTTAAAGAAAAAGTAGAAATAGTTTAAACGTATTTTATTTGTATTAAATAAATACAGTATTACATTTTTATATTAATTGACAATATCAATATATTGTTTCATATTTTTATAAAAATTTCTTATATTTTAAATTTTAATAAAACTTTATTTAAATTTGATTTTTATTATAAAATAATTTTTGTGAATAAGTTTTTGTAGCGTATATTATGTACACATAGACTACACGTGTATATCATGTGATGGTTTTCTTTTGTTGTCTATTGTGTTTGTAATACAAACTTTGTATGCACTCATTGTTTGTGTCAACCAAAACATGGGATCAATTTGTGGTGATTTTCGTGGTTTAAGTCGAAGACAATTGTATTCAAAGTTAAATGAATTGCAAAATGAAAACAATTGTT